ACATTTGTGCGGGAACAGTGGAGATGCAGATGGCGTTTATGTTGGTCTGTCATTTTGGTCAGCCATGGATCTATTGTTTTACACTGGTGAACAGCTGTTGGCGCTGAGCCAGGCCAAGCCACCGTTGTGGGAGGGACCGGACATCCCCGATGAGCTGGAGGAAGAGGGGATGCAAGGCAGGAGTGAAGGAGAGGAGACGCTACAAGCCAACCATCACCATGGAAACGTGAAGTCTCTCCCTAGCGGCCTGGAAGAGCTAACGGCTAACAGCTAACAGCTAACAGCGCTAACCCGGCTGCAGTGGGAGTATCAGGAGTGCAGCCTCATGTTGTTCACGGAGTCATGGCTGAACGAACTCACTCCGGACTCGCTCGCAACATTGGACGGATTTCACCGGGTCAGAGCGGACCGGAGCTGGAGGGAGAGCGGTAAGAAGAAAGGCTGGGGACTGGCCATGTACGTGAATGAGAGATGGTGTAATGCTAGCACGCTAGCGTTAAAGAGCGGCGCTGCGCGAAGGATGTTGACCTGCTGGTGGTTGGTTTGCAGCATTTCACCTGCCCAGGGAGTTTTTTGCACTTACTATCCTCCCAAAGAATAGATACTGAGCACTGTAGTTTACCTTTGTGCTCGCGAGCACCAACCCAGTGCAGGACTCTGCTGTGAAGGTGGAGACTTGTGGTGGTGGTGTACTTGCAACAATAAAAAAAATGAGATATGTATATATATCATTTATATCAGGGGTTCTCAACTGGTGGGTTGCGACCCAGAAGTGGGTCGCGGGCCTGTTCTGGGGACAGCTGGTCAAAATTAAATAATAGATAATGTGCGTCTCAGGTTGGACTTATTTTTTATTTTGAAAAAACCCAATAGCCAACTATTCGTTGGCTGTGCTGGAATCAGGATATCAGCTTAGATCTTCCTCCCACCTCCTCCTCCTCCTCCTCCTTCTTCTCAGTCCTTCTACACCAGAATGTCGCAGTTTTGAGCTTTCAATGAGTTCCATAACTCTGTTTTTTTTAGTGATGTAACCGACATATCTTTGTCACAAAAAACAACAACCATGGATCTTGGTTCTGTCATAGGTATATTGTATATTGTATATTGTAGGTCTTCTGGAAATATGACAAAATGGTGCTGGGTCAAAAATATACATCCAACCACACTGACATTTGGTTAAACGTCCTCTGGTCATTTTCACCACAGTTTTGGTTGCCGTCCACAAACTTCTGGCAAGCCTATGGTTGAATTTCTGACCACTTCTCTTGACAGAAAGTGGTGCAGCTAAATTAAATTAGTGGCTTTTCTGGCACTAACTGTCATGTTCTCTGCCTCCACCTCTGCTGGAAGTCTTTCCCTCTTTTCCTTGTCTCCCTGTGGGCTTGTGAGAGAGAGAGTTTAGATTCTGTAAGCAAAGCCTATCTAGAAACTGAAATCTGTGGCACTTGGGCTGTGATGACATAATGTATTGTTAGCCTGCACCAGAAAGACAAAAACAAACAAACAAACAAACAAAAACATCCTAAGTGAGAAAATGTTTACTTAGGTAAATAGTGTACTTTTACTGAAGTGACCACAACGATATGGGCGGCACATTCAGTCACTTTTATTTCCAAGGTTTAAAAATTAAAAAAAAAAAAAACGTTGACACACACAGGAATAACTATAATATATATATTTTTTTTTTTTTTAATTACACTTTAACGTTACTTCCGGGTCAGCCACTCAGTTTATTTGTGTTTATGACTTTATGAGGTAAAATTGACAAATGGAAATTAGACTAAATAAAAAACGAGCCATTTCTTACCCTTGCTCCGGCTGATTTTTAATATTAATAGACAGTGAAAAATGAGAATCAGTTGTTGTTGTTGTTGTTGTTTTGGTAATGGTTCGAAAACTGAATTATACCTAATACCCTTTGTAGGGATGTTCTTTGTAAATAAAGTTCTTGAGAGAAGAAAAAAAAATGAAGCGGAACCATAGCGTAACTGTCGAAAACATCACCGGACAGTTTTCACCGACGCTCCCAAGTAGCATCCATGACAGGTTGACAATATTACCGAAGTAAGTGTCTGTTTTTCGCTTTATGCACGCTATTACACGCAGTTGTACTGACTCACGGCTTAAAAAAAATAAAAAATAAAACGTTATCATGAACGTGGGTTTGTAATGTTCCGCCAGGACGCCGGTAGAACCGCGGCCTGTGAGACAGCAGCGCCGAACACCGTTCACTGAAATGTTGTGAGATGAGAGGAACAAACCGGGCTGCTGCCAACCCGCATGCAAATCATTTCTTTGGCAAAAAATAAGGAAATGCATGTTTAGGTTGCATCTGAGGGGATTCGTGTTTCATCACAATGAAGCAAACGTCCATGTTTCCAGTGTTTTAATAGACACGCGTGATAATTGATGAGGGTAAATAACTACAGCCAAAGTAAGTGGAACTGGGCGGAACATAATGCATGCTGGTTTTAATGGAGCTAACTAATCTGACCATCTAAATCAAAACAATGCAATTTAAAACTGACGTTAAGGGACTTTTTTGCATTAGTACATGTCAATGTTTTAAGGTTGACACGAAAAGAAGGCGTTACATGTGCAGCAGGAATCACAGCTGGCATTTGGTCAAGTTAACAAACTCATTCGTAGCCACAAAGTGAATTATGTGCAGTAAAAGATGGTGCAGGTGAATTTGGGGCAGCTTGTGTGACTTGCTAAGTTTGTTTTGTATTTTACCTGCCAGTCATTTTATCCCGCCTTCCTTTTATCCCAGTATTGGGAAAGTCATGTCTGTGTTCTAGCGGGTGCTGACCCTTTGCAAATCTGCAAATCCTAAATCACTTCACTTTTTTTTCTTCTTATCTTTCTTTTTCTTAATTGCCGATGTAAATTTGAAAATTTGCATGCAGGTGATGCAAACTAAACAGCAAACACCCCCTCTCTGTTCCAGTGTGACAAAGTCAGCTCATAGAGAAATAGTTTCTCCAGTTGGGTGTGGAGGAACTTGGCTGGCCTGACCCCAACCCCAACCCCAAGTCAATCAGCTTCTATAAAATGGTTTAAAAGCAACAGATAGTGATGGCAGACTCCTAACAGACAGCCCCTTGTATTCTCAAAGGGAAACATGTCTTTTGAGGAACAACTTTACAGCACAACATTAGAAACTTTAAACCAAAGTTTGACTTCTGTTCAGCTTGACCCGCAGTGTCAAATCTGGCTTCCAAAAGTCATAATTATGTGAGAAGCCACAACAGACACCTTTGATCCTGATGAAATGGATGTTACACAATGTCCAACTGTTTTTGTATCAAGAGATGTCTGTCCAGTCTGTTTGAAAAACCTTCTGATAATATGTCTTGTAGTTGATGTTGGCCTCTCTGTCCATGATGATGTCACATGGTTTCAAGAGCAGTAAACAGGACTTCACTTTTGGACCATGGAAAGTGACTGCTGCCAAAAACCACATCATGAAATCGAAAGACATTGAACGGTGAGAAGTTTCTCTCACTTACAGTAGATAATTATTTGTCTTCTAACTTTTACTTGTTAAATGCTGTTGTCCTCTTTGGTGGGTCGGATTGTAGCCAGGCTACATAAGCTGGGTCCAGGAAAAGGTAAGATCAAAAGATATGTATGTATATACTGTATATCTATGTAATATACACAGATTTGAATGTCATGTAAAGTGGCCATTGTTCAGCCACAGAGAGCTACAATGAACAACCATGCTTCTTTAAAAGAAACAAAAAGATGTGGCTGTGAATATTGTCAGTCATCCAGGTTATGGTTATTCTCGTAGATTAATCGTAGCAACTGAACTTGCTTGAGTTCCTTGAAGACGTTTCACCTCTCATCCAAGACTGATGAAGCCTCTTAGATGAGAGGTGAAACATCTTCAAGGACCTCAAGCAAATCCAGTTGCCACGATTAATCTACGAGAAAAAACAAAAAGATGAGCTCACCAACATAACCCGCCAGATGAAGTGAAAACACACAGCATTCATCGGCCCAGAGAAACGTCTGCCATTCCTTGAATTTCATAATGCTTTTAAAATCTGTCTCATAGTGCACCGTAGCCATTTGATGCAGGTCACACACAAATACTGTAAAACTGATTAGTACTTGGATTTCATATATTTCAGAGTAGAAAAACGAATGTGTGGTAGAATGAGGTCCTGTGCCAATAAAACTGAGTAAAGTACAGCCACAGTGCATCTGATATGACTTCTAAATAAGCTACAAAAGTTTATTTATGCTATAAGCTATAAAAATATATGACTGTAGATGCTGAAGATCTGACACTTGAAGTTTTGACAAAGTGAGCTGAGCTATATTTCCAGTGCAGTGATGCAGAACTGGCATTGTTGTTGCTGTTGTTTCCATAAAGACGTGTGTTGTCATCTGTAAGTGTCACCAGCTGTTTACTGTTTGCCTTTCCAGATTAGCAGAGGAGATGAACATGCCCTCTCTTCCAGAGATGTTGTTTGGGGACAACGTCCTGCGCATCCAGCACACAGACGGCTACGGCATTGAATTCAATGCTATCGATGCCCTTAAGAGAGTCAACAACATGGAGGATGCTGTTAAGGTGGCCTGTGCTCAAGAATGGCAGGAGAGCAGGCAAGACGATCATTACAGTGTGTTACCACATTGGAGTGTTGCTGTGTTCACTTTTGTCAATAGTTTAAAACAATGTAGACACTGCTGTGCTTGGTTTTCAGAAAAACCATTCACAAATATACAGTATATTGGCCGAGACATTAACAGTATTTTCGTGCATCTTGGTCCACCAGAATCAATCGTACTGTCCACTGACAATTTAATCAAATTTATGAGGCATCCAATTGAGTTGCAAAACTTATTGGAGTTACAAGTAACCAATTCTGTCAGCTTGCAGGATGTGGCGTTTCAAATCAGTTTTCCTATTCAAAATTGTTTTCTTGTTCAAACAGGTATGGTTGAGTTTCTCCAATGTTATAGCCAGCCATTGTGTAAAGTATATGTGTCTACGATGATGTGTTTCCAGAGCTGATACTGAGCACTCCAAAGAGGTGTTGAGACCTTATGACTGGACGTACACCACAGACTACAGAGGCACCTTGATAGGAGACAGTATGCAGATAAAGGTGGGTCATTTTCAGTAATTGAATGTCAGACACTATCAACACCTTTTCTACGTGTAACGTCATCGGTACAAAGCAGAGGGATGTTGTATCTTGAGTTTAATTTCTGCCTGTTGTTCATGTGAAGGTGACGGAGACAACAGAGCGTATTAACATGGAGAAGTTGAAGGCTCGGGAACACATCATGTTCTTTGATGAGGTACTGCTGTTTGAAGATGAGCTGCACGACCACGGCGTCTCCATGATCAGCGTCAAAATTGTGAGTGCTGTCTTCCTGTTGATCAGGTGCCAAATGAAGACCAGATTTATAACTTAAGACTTTCTTTTTTAGACACAGTATGTATGCAGTCAGTACCTAATCTATTGAAGCAACAAATTATTTTATAAATGCCGTTTGTTGAGGGAAGTTTCATCCAGCAGGAACCATGTTCACACAGTTACACATATTTACACTTTGAAGCTTTTTATAATGCAGCCGTAGTCCAGTTAATGCCTCTATTGCATTCTGGGAGTGGGCGAGAGCTCAGTGGGCTAAAGTCAGTGGTGGGATCTGTTTAAGGTCGCAAGGCTCAGAAAAAGAAATGATAATTAAGTGATACTAACTGATTCAACAGCTAGCTACATGCAACATGCAGTAATACATGGTATGATGGCACAGTATTGCATTCAGACTGTTTCCAAAGGTTCTGAGAGTAACATGCTGCATTTTTTGATTGCACAGAGGGTGATGCCCACCAGTTTCTTCTTGTTGCTACGTTTCTTCCTGCGAGTGGACGGAGTGCTGATTAGAATAAATGACACTCGACTGTATTACGAGGCAAGTTGGTTTACATCAGTCACAGAATTTAAATGTGGTAGAGGTTAATCCTCATGTTGTGAAGGTTACTTTAGTAGTCTACAGTCATGACTCGATAATCCGACCCGTATCAATCCAAAGCCTTGCTGTCCGACAGGTTTTACATTAAGTGTCGGATTATCGAGTCACGACTGTATTTCAGAACCAGTTACAGATTACATGTCCTTAAATCTAATTTGTAGCATATTTTGTTTGATTGCTCAAAGAGAATTATCAATACTTTGATTTACCTTAACGTTGGCTTACACCATTCTTGTATGTAATAGTGTGAATGAATGTGGTGCTTACAAAGGTCTGGGCAACAGTTTAATGTCTAATTTTGTTATAGTTTGTGGTCCCAGCGATGGACATTTCATCAGTAGCAATAAAAAAGTAATGTGATAAAAATGTTTTATAGTCCAGCTTACACGCATTATATTCAAACCACCATCAAAACCATATCAGAACCACAAAGTTCAATTCCATGAACAAACTCTAAGAGTGCTCCCTCTCTTGCTCATACACAGTCTGTCATCCTTTGACAATAGAGCCCCTTCACCGTCCGTCTTTCTCTTAAGGCGCCCTAGTCCATGGTTGCATCTCCTCACCCCCGTCTGCGCCCACAGACCTCCCGTTGTGGAGAATGCAATCGGCAGGGGCCGGTATTTGCCCTTGCAGGATTGGCTTCACTGCCTAATGAAAACACCTAAGACTCTGAGAGCTGACACTCTTAATATCAAGATGTGTAGCTGGTGTATAGTGATGTCCAGTGATACCTGGTCCAGGCCGGCCACTTAAAACCTCAACCTTCCTGCAGTACAGCAGCAGCTTTGCCTAGGTTTCCA